CCACCCCTAAAAAATTCTTAGCCCTATCCACATGGGACTTGCAATCCTATCTTCAGCCACCCTTTAATGTTAAGTGTGGATATTGGTCATCAATAGACTGCCTATTTCTGCCAGTAAACATTAATGTAATAGCAAGCTTCTGCCTATATTCTTCAAATATTTAGGGAAGGTCTGCTGGCTGATTCCAAACCATTCTTTTCATAGAAGTCCAAAATACAAACCTGAGATAATGAACTGTTCATTACTTTTCATCACCAGCACAGAACAAAAACAATAACAAGAAAATCTGAACTAGTCATCCATCACATAAGGTATGTGGAAAATACCTTATGCTCTTAGCTATTTTATTACAGCTTAATCATGCATAAGGAAAAAAATGTATGTTTTTTAATTAATGCTTTTCCACTAAAAAGTCCAATTATTAGACATTTGTATAAGCATAAACAGGTTTTAAAGCCTATTCTAACATAGTAACCTGAGTCAGTGAGTATTAAAATATTTTTCAACATTGAATATTTGAGTACTTATTTATTATTCACATTTATATAGCTGTCCCTCACTCTGGATGAAGTAGAATAAAAACAAACCATAAAAAGCAAACTTTTTAAAATTAATAACTAAATAACCATTACTAAAATAGTACTTACTGCTAGATTCCATTATACAAGACTAATTTTAAACTGATTAAGAGATTAACTTCAACTCTACACAGATTCTTCCATATAAAGAAAGATGTGTTATGCAGTTGTATATTTATTTCTAATGGCATTAAAGACATGATTTTGCACTGAGCGCAATTTATTATGTTCACTCTTCAAATGATACTCTATGGAGAAAACAACATTCTATCTATCATATGTGGGGAATTAGAATCAAATTAAACAGGGATCTGACTATATCAAACCAAATAGCTGAATTGCAATACTATTAAACAAACCTGACTAGTCATTTTTTTTTCCAAGTGATGTTTTGTATTATTACACCAGAAAAGATAACAGCAACAAGTTTTACATATGCTTAATCTACTTTAATATTTACATATGGCTACAAGGAGCAAACTATACAGCGATAAGCAGCTGTTTAAAAAAACAAAACCCTCAAGTATAAATGGTATGAAGGAAGTGGTTTCTCAACTGCCCAATTTCTCAGAACTACAAATAATGCAATCTAATAATACTAAAAGCTTAAAAATAACAAAGAACTTCTTATTAACAAAGTACCAATGAGTCATCCTTCAGTTTAGAAAGGTGAGAAATGCATAATGCTTTAATGCAATTGACTGATTCCTTAAATCTTGAAAACAAAGTAATAAAGCTTTAAACAACTAGAAATAAAAGTCCTACTACATTTGGAACATTGAAAGGAAAAATACTGCAAAAGGTCAATATGAATCAAGGTACAGTGAAATCTTGGGTCGTGAATGCTTCTGTTTGCGACCAAATCGGGTGACGACCAGAATTTTCGGCAAAGTTTTGTTTCTGGTTACAGCTGTTTCTGGTTGGGTAGCAACCAGACACAGCTGTGGTGATTTTCCCTGCTGCAGTGATTTCACCATTTTCTTTGTCTGTGCATGCTTCTGGTCACAACCAAGGTATGCTTCTGGTCACAACCAAATCGGGTTATGACCATAGTCTTGGAACAGATTACAGTCGTGACCCGAGGTTCCATTGTACTATATCATCACAAGAATTTCTGAATATTTTTTAAATAACCAGAGGTGGTATTCAGCCGGTTCAGACCAGTTCTACTGAACCAGTAGTCATGATTCTGCAGTTTGGAGAACTGGCAAATTGCACCATCGGCTGGCCCCTCCAGCCCTATAGGTCTTGCCTTTGCCATGCAGCCCAGCTAATCTCCGTGCCTCACCTTCATGCCTCGCCAGCTCTGCTCACCAAAGGTAAGACACCCGCTCGCCCTTCGCCTTGGGCCAGGGATGCACCTTTCACCCAGGGACACGCCATTCCTTGGCTGCAGCCTTGCCTCCACCTGCTCGCCGTTCGCCTCAGCCGGGTCAGGAAATATACCATTCCCCCGCTCCAGCCTTGCCCTGGAGCCTCCGCCCTCTCGCCATTCACCTTGGTCGGGTCAGGGTACGTGCCATTCCCTGACTCTGGCCTTGCCCCAGGCCTCCACCCACATACCACCCCCCCTGGCCTCAAACTATGTCCCCCCCAGGCTGAAGCTGTGGCCTACTGCACTAGGTCAAAGGGCTGCAGGGAGGACAGCTTGGGTGCAGGAGGGCTAAAACAGTTTGGGAATGGACTGGATAGTTCATGTAAGAAGTCCCATCTGGAAAGTGCTGCAGCGGAGATCTTGCAGCCGCTTCTTCCGTCTCTTAGTGAGCCTTGGTTGCTCGTAGAGATGCTCCACGTGCTCTCCAGGTCAGCAGCTGCTTCTCTCCGCTGCTGCTCTTGCTGGGAGAGTGTCTTGTGCAATTTAGCAGCTGTGAGCCACACTTTCCTCTAAGTCCTATTCGGAAAGCGCATTCAACATGGATGTTGCTTCTCTGTGCCGCAGCACTTTCCAAATGGGACTTAGAGGAAAGCAGCGGTTCACAGCTGTTAAATTGCACAAGATGCTCTTCCAGCAGTGCAGAGAAAAGCAGCCGCTGCCCCGGAAAGCAGAAATGGAGGTGAGCAGGCCCACGCCTTGCTGCGTGGTTGAAGCTGCATATGCACAGAAGTCATGCATGTGCACATATGTGGAAGCCGTGAGTGTGTACATGTTCAGAAGCTGTGCGCGCGCTCATATTTTTGGAGAACTGGTGGTGGAATTATTTGAAACTAATCACTGTAAATAACATATGTTATGTTGAGCTTGACCTAACATTAATATCTCTTAACCAGCAACCCCCACCTTGCTTGTAGCAAGGACAAAACTACTTGATAGGAAAATGGAGCAGGGCTCTTGGTGTCTACATCCAAGTTCCCAAATACTTTATCCAAAGAAAATCAAAGTACCGTAACTTCCCTTCTGTGGTCCTTTCCTGACAAACAACACCAGCTAAAATGGACTTTTTTACAGATCTTTTTTTTTTACCATGAGGTAAAAAAAGCTAAGTATCATGCTAGGGATACATTTTTGTTTGAATATCTGGTTTAAATATTTCCAAGGTTCTTGATGCTGTATAAACCATATTTTGTGAAACAGGCTGCTGTGATTTAGTTTCAACATAAGAAAAACTGAAAAAATAACATTCTAGGTTTCCTCATGCATTCCCTAGTGAGCCTTCCCTAGTGAGCTAATCTTCATATACAAGACCAGGTTGTTCAAGACAACAAGCACTGGGTATTACTACATGTGGTACTAAAAATATTGGTTTTATGAAAAATTAGTACCTTTATTCTTACCAGTGAGCTTTACTCTGAAGAAGTATTAATACTTTATACGTTTAAGAAAAATGCCTCAGCTTAAGTCCAAGTTATACTTCTATTTCAATTAAAACCAAAGTAGAACAACACTAAAAAAATCACTCTAAATTATAGAGTGATTACGATGTTTTGGATACTAACATTGTCCTTAAACCTACTTATAAGATTGACAGGAGCTGCTTATCATATATAATGCCCTGGGAACCTGTAGGTATGAGAGGGTCTGAATTTAACTGGATTACCAAAAACCTTCTCTTTCTCCAGTTGGATATGAGAGATGAAAAGTTTTCCTGTTTCCTTACTACCAATACTGCATGAAAAAAAAAATAGTCCCTCATGAAAAAAATCAATCTTTTCACCTCCTCGTTCAAGGAGAGTTCATTCTCTAGGCAATGACCCATCCTTATAAACCCTACCAAGAGAGGATATACATAGGATAAACAAACTGGCAGAACTGCTCTGCAAAAGCCAATTGTTTTTTTCTGAGTTAGCATACTTCTCTAAGTCACTCTATTCATTCCAAATATATGATACTACATGGTGAAGAGACCATCTTTTCTTGCTTACTTGCCTTCTAGCTCCAAGCAAGGGCAATAAAAAGAATCTGATCAAAGTGAGATAACAGTGATTGGAAGGAGCAGTATCTATTCATCTGAGATGTTCCTTGTTTTCCACTTTGAGTCACAAAGTTAACATTGTGTGTGTGTGTAACTGACCCTCACCCTTAATGGAAAGGAAAGGTGTTTTGGTGTTTCTGTGATGGCTCAGACCTTCCAAGAATTGGCTTGCAGGATGGATTTATAGCACCATTAAAATTCCAGGCATAGGAACAAGTATTCCGAATTGTGGAGTAAAAAAAATACATTGCCGCATAATACATTTTGTTTATGATTCGATTTACGCTAAATTTGCATTAGGACAACTTGTGATGGGGCACCCCAAATGATTTGTGTCTACGAGGAACTACTCAGAGCCCTTTCCTTTAAGCATTAGACGATCACATTGTATAACTCAGCCAGCTCCTCATAGACTAGTCTTGTGAAACAGAGAGGGAAAAAGAAAACCCGCGAGAGATAAACTAAAAAAACAAAAAACCCAGCCCAGACTGAGAGGGCTCACAAAGGGAAAGTGTTTGCTTTTATTCGTCTCCTAAACACTTTGTCCTCCCCGACATCTTGGGTCGAAAAATGAAAATCGCTCTTCCCGCCCCCTCTAAAAACGACTCCAACTCATAGATGAGAGAGGGGGAGGTTTACGCATTAGGTCCACAACAGCCCAACTGCAGGTGTGCGCATGAGAGCCCCAACTGACGTTACTGCAAGTAGCGGTCTCTTAAAAGAGCCCCAAGAGAGAAAATACATTCCGGACCGAGAAGGAAGCCTCACGCGTTACACTCCCAAAATTCTGCAGGGAGGAGAGCCGCCCCCAATGTGATCCCCGCCCCTCCACCAAAGCAGTTCGGAATGCACGCAAGCGATACAACAGCCTGTGTGAAGGGAATGATAAGTCCACATCAGAGCATTTATTTCTCCACTTCACCCTTTGAACAAGCCATAGCAGCCCACCCCACCCCCCGTTATTTTGGCGGCTAGTGACGCCTTGCTCTTAGGAAAAGGAGAGAGCACTCACCGCATAGTAGAGCTTAGGCTTCGCTTTCAACAACACCGGGTCGGCTATGGCCTGGAGGTAGCCCCCCAGGTCCCCCCGACGCTGCAGCATGGCTGGCGTGACCGTTCCCCGCGCCCGCAGTCGCCTCTCCTCTTTCCCTCGAAGCGCCTCAGAGACAGCAGCCAAAGGATGAACCTCCACTGCCTCGCAGCGTCAACACGAACCGCATCGCCTCCAAAAACCGGCTTTATAGATGGCTAATACTCCGCAAAGTCCGGGTGGGTTGGAGATTCAACTACAACTGCTGCCGCCACCGCTATTGCCGCCTAAGTGGGGCCAAGAGGGCGGGACTGATTTTCTCCCGGCGACGTACCCAGCAGTTTGGAGAGGGAGGGGAGGGCGAAAGATAGGAAGGCGCCGGGGGCTCGCAAACTCCACTTCCCTCGGCAGCTGGAAGGAGGGAGCTTCTTTTTCTTCCTCAGAATTTTTGTTTAATGAGGGAGATTTGGCAGAGCGAATTATTTGGCGATAATTGATAGAAAGAAGAAAATGGCATCCTATTTTCTCAGGTAGCCTGCCTTGAAAGCCAACATAAAAATCCTGTCCCTCGCCCAGCCAAAGACCACTTATCAGCATCTCGTTACTTTAACGTTACCTATAGATTTAGGTTGCCACTTTTTGCTTCGCTATAGGAGACCAGCTAGCGAAACAACTGCACGAACCAGACGTTCAATAGAACTACCGTTCTTCGAGCTGTGGCAGAAAATCAACACCTTTTTGCTTTGACCAAAAACCAACCAACCAAATAAACAAAAAATCCTACAGCAACTTTCAAAGAAAGGGAGGAAAAGGAACATCAGGAAAAAAAAGTGCATCCCTTCTAATCTCAATTCGAGCAAGAGATCCATCCGAAACCCTCCAAAATACAAACTGTATTCCATCCATCTACCCACATTATGAGACTCTTCAATCCACACATCGTCTAAATCGGTCGTCACTGATCCAACTATTCTTTCAAGGCAATAATGATATTAAAGTCGTGTTTATCTTTTATTCCGACATTGTCCAAGGACACCTTCAAAGTGAGTAATTCAACGTTGTCGCCTTTACCTTTCAGGGAATTTAGATGAAAATAAGAAAAACAATAAAGAGAAGATAAATATGGCAGGGTTGTCAAACTCCCAGTCCACGGGCTGGATACGTCATCTGCTGGCCAGGCTCCCACCCAGTTTAGCAAATGGGGAAAAAGTCCCAATATGTCATGTGACACCGCCATGACGACATGAGTTTGACACCCCTGAACTATGCTAATAAAGTTTTCATGTCAAGTCAAAAACCTTCAGACAATAGTAAATTCAGAATTGGATTATGGATAGTAGAGGTGGTATCCAGCAGGTTTTGATCAGTTTTAGAGAACCGGAAGCAGAAATTTTGAGTAGTTCAGAGAATCGGAAAATATCACCTCAGGACTGGAGATTTTATAGTATCCTTCCCCTGTAATGCCCACCAAGCCACCCCCATAGAACCGGTAGTAAAAAAAATTGAATCCCACTACTGATGGATAGTGTGGGAAGAAATATCTATCTGGTTCAGTTACAAGCCAGAAGAAAGATACTGGAAATATGGAGGCTGGTTGGAAAGATGGTTTAATGATGAAGCAGAATCGCATGGACTCTTGGCAGCTGACTACATGGAGTTAAGAGCATGGGGGGTGTTATATCTTCTCTTGGCCTTTGCACTTGAGCTCCCTGTTCCTGTGCAAGAACATGTCTGTTGTCAGACTCCCATGGGACCATCTAGGGGTAATGCAGGGGTCATAGCTGGCTCTATATCCAAAGTACAAATCCTAGGTGTTTGTCTGAGCTAAGTTTGGTTGAAGTTTCTGAGGGTGATGCAATAATCCCTATTGTGGCTTAATGGCTTTTTCCTGTGTTGGATCTTGGGTGCAGGTATTTGCTTATGAATAGAGCTATCTATCTCTTTATCTCTTAAGTGATGACATCTGTTGTGGGCTATTAAGAAAGGTGGAGGCTGCTTCCTCCCTCTAAAAAACATGTTTCTTCATTTTTCCTCCAGGGCAGGGAAATATAATATTCTGCCTTTTTAATATTTCTCAAAATATTTCATTCTTCTAGGCGAGAAAGGGGTGCTAACTTTCTACAATAGGAAAGTAATGTACTACAAATTCCATGTATCAAGAGGAAAATCAATGCAAGGATAGTTTGTTCTTCTTTTCCTAATGTTTCAACAGAAACTGGAAAATAACAAATGGGAGGAAGGGCTATATGGAAAGCTCCATGTCTTCCCTCCTTATTGTATTGTTTCATGGAACCTGTTAGTGGAATATGATGGCAACTGCTTATCTCAAGAATTTAGCCTCCTCCCCCCCAAGAATTGTGGTTACATTGCTCCTGAATATAGATACTTATTTGGCTTTCAAAGAATGAAACCAAAAAATTGTTTAGGAAAGGTGAAACAATTGAAAAGAATTCCCTTGGAACAGTATGTTAAAATCAGTCAAAAATCTAAGATTAATGAAACCAATGAAGAGATAAAGTTGCCCAGAAAGCACTAAAAGATATCTACCAGTAACAATTCTGATGTCAGCTAGATGTAAGACTGTTTATGTATAGTAAAGAAAAGGATAAAATATGTTAGACTGTTGTGCTATATAGGTATCAGGGCATCTATGTCTGTACTTCTTTACCACCTTTTCCATCTAAACCATATATTTCATATAATAAATACAGGCAAAAATCAGTTTAAAGTCATGTCATCTTTAATTCTCATTTGCTGATGTTACAGTTTAAAGAAAACTAAGATGGAGTCAGTAGGCAAAGATACTATTTGGACTATCCTACATCAAGAAGACTGAAAAATTAAATAATATCTACTATTGTCATATATATGCTATATTTATATAATATATTCATAATTATTCATATTTAATTAGTCATAATAGGTGAATAATTTCCTAAAATCTCTATTTTTTTTAGAACAACAGGATGGTGCTCATATTTTCAAAAGATAATTTTGAAAATTAAATTGAGATCTATCCACATTTGTTTTTATAGAAGGACTAAAGTTCTTTGAGTAGCCACCTATAAATTATATATACCCTGTTTCTCCAACAATACGGCCTCCCCCAATAGGAAGTCCCAGCATGTTTTATAGGCATGAAATGAAATTAAGCCCCTCCCCCCAAATTAAGGCCTATATTAAAACATGCGAAATGGGGGGGAATGGCGGGGGGCTTGCCACGGCGTTTGGAGCAACGCTGCGGTGTTTGGCGCAGCCACGCGGCGTTTGGCGCAGCCACGCGTGGCCAGCTAGAGCTCCTCCCTGCAACCGGAGCCTGGTGGAGACACTCGGCTTCAGGTGCAGCTTCCCTGGACAGCAGGTCCGGCGGAGAGAGCCTGAAGCCGCCCATCCTTTCCACCCCTCACCCAGCCTGTCCCTGTCCCCACGCATCTCCAAACTCACCGGCAGCTCCAAATGCTGCAGCGGCATGGGCATCAGGCAGAGGCGCTCACTCGGTGGAGCTCAGCTCGGAGGAGGACGCAGTGCGGGCTGTCGCCTTGCCTCCCTGTCCATGGATGGGTGAGCGCTATCACTGCCTCGGGTGGCCTCTCCCAGTGGCCCCTTTGGGGTCGGGCTGGAGGGACTTGGGAAGGAAGCCAAGCTTGAGTCAGCCCAGTTCTTTCGCTTGGCAGGTGGGTGCGCACCAGCAACTCGCTTTCCCGGCTCTGCCAACCCTGCCTGGCTCCGGCGCGACCCTGGCGGGATGAGTGGAGGGTCCAGCGGGGAAGCGCTCACTGCTTTGGCCAGAGCTTCGCCGCTGGGCAGGAGGGCCCGCCTGTCAGCTGCGCTGGGCGCCCCAGGCGAAGCTCTTTGCGCTCTGCCCAGCGCCAGGCAGGGATGGCGGCTGGGTGCTTCTCCTGGGGCGGGCTGATCCTGCGCTGTGGCCCCAGGAGATTCACCTCCCCATGTGGGGTTGGGCTGCCCTCTTGGGCAGGGCAGGCTTTGTCGTACAGTAGTAGGGCGTCATTTTTAAAAGAATGGGCTTTGCCTTCAAATGATGCTCGGGAAGGCGGCGACAGGAGCGCCTGAAGCCGAGTGTCTCCGCTGGGCTCCGGTTGCAGAAAGGAGCTCTTGCCGGCTCTGCATGGCTGTGCCAAATGCTGCGTGGCTGCACCAAACACCACAGTGTTGCTCTAAATGTCGCGGCAGCACGGGGAGAAGGGAAAGCAACGGTGGCGGAAGGTCTCCCGATACAAAGTGCCCCACCAACGCCGAGGTCAACATCCAAGCCGTCGCCGCCCGCCTGCCCAAGGATGCAAGGGGGGGGGAATTAAGTCACCCCCGAAAAGACGGCCTAGCTGTTTTTTCAGGGCTCAAAAAAAAATAAGACCCGGCCTCATTATATGAGAAACACGGTAGAAAAGAAATAGAAGTAAAGAAACTAAATTTATACATGATACCAAGCTATATTGTTTTAAAACTTAGCAGGTAAGTTCATGTGACACTTAGGTAAGTTCATGTAAGATAAAACTATCAAATACATTGTGGTTTATGCAGGGGTGGGATCTGACTGGTGTATCTACCAGTTCGGTGATTTATGATTTGCGCTGTGCACGCGTGTGAATCATCATCTTGCTGCCTGGACAGCTGAGCAGCGCTGCGCGCAGGTGCACAGCATTTGAAAAGCCACTTTTTTCCTGCTTTTTCAACCTCAGCTGTGCCGCGCAAAACAGCTGAGGTTGAAAAAGCAGGAAATAAAGGACAGGTAAGAGCCCGGCGGGCAGGTGGGCCAAACAGCAGCAAACACAGAACCGGTTCGGTGTCTGCTGCTCTTCAGAGCTCCCAGTTCTATAGAGCAGGGCAGAACTGGTAGCATCCCACCCCTGCACCATTGCCTCTTGTACTCTGGCTTTGATGCTACTGTTGGTAGGAGGCCAATATTAATCTGGCCTTTGATATAAAAAAAAAAGCCTAGTCTGCTTTCCCCTGGTTTAGATAGTTTTTTTGGACAAAGTGATTAAAAATTTAAAAAGAAAGGAAGAAAGCTGTAGTCAAACTGAAAAAAGGGCTGTTTTTAAACTCAACAGGATAAAACATTTGTTGTGAAAAAGTATGTTCTTCCTGAGATCTAATGATTGTGATTCCATCTGGTTTCCACAGGTATGTTTGCAAAAACTTGGCAGATGCCATGTTTACATTTTATACGGGAAAGAAAATAATTGTGAGGCTTCTTCTTCTTTTTTTTTTTTGAGAATCTGA